TACTTTGCAGGCACAGGCAGCGGCACTGCCCCTCTGCAGGCCTCTGGGGCTCTTCTGCCGGTGGGTCGCAGGTCCGCCTACCTTGCGGGGGGCGGGCGGTACGGCTCTACCCTTCCGCAGGCCACTGGGCCTGTTCTGTTTGTCGGTTGCAGGTCTGGCCTGTTCTTTTGGTGGTCACAGTTCCGCCTACCTTGCAGGCGCGGGGGGGGGGGGGGCTCTGCCTCTCAGCAGGCCGCTGCGCCTGTTCTGCCGGTGAGTCGCAGGCCCGCCTACCTTGCCGGTGTGGTTGGCAGCTCTGCCCCTCCGCGGGCCACTGGGCCTTTTCCGTTGGTGGTCACAGTTCCGCCTACCTGGCAGGCGCGGGGGGTGGGGGGTGGCTCTGCCCCTCAGCAGGCCGCTGGGCCTGTTCTGTGGGTGGTCACAGTTCCGTCTCTCAGTACACTATTGTATAGGAATCTGTCAGTTCAAAAGATCCTTTCTGTCCCTTTATAGTCAGTGTACCTGTCCAGTCCTTGTTAATCACTAATATGCTTTCTGACATTACAGTTTGCCTTCCCTAAAATATCATGTATATAGAACTGTACAGTAGATCATCTTTTGTCTGCCCCCCCCCCCCACTTTTTAGCGTCATTCTCTTGAGATTGATCTGTGTTGTGAAATCATGAGTTCAGTCCTTCTTATTGTGAGTCTACTGCATTGCATACTATAGTTTGGCTATTTAAACTGTTTCTAGTTTGTGTCTATTATGAATTAATCTGCTATGAATATGCCAGTATACATCCTTATGTGAAAATAGGTTTTGATTTTTCTTGGATTAAAATACCCATGAGAGGGATGCTATATTATATGTAAGTGTATGTTTGACATTATAAGGAATTACTAGATCATTTTTAAAGTGGCTATACTGTTTTTCATTCATACACCATGTTTCAGTTGCTCTATATCTTTGTCAACACTTATTTTATCAGTCTTTGATTTTAGACAACCTAGTGGACATGTACTTGTATAGTGACTTTGACTTGCATTTTCCTGTTAAGCAATGATTTTCTAGATCTTTTCCCATGCTTATTTGCCATTCATATATCTTTTGTTTTTTGATGAAATGTTCAAGTTCTTTACCTATTTGAAAAGTGTTGTCATAGCAATCTAATAGTCTTTTTGTTTGTTTTTAAATGTTCGTGGTAAGAGTCCTTTAGCAGGTGTTCTGTATATATTTTCTCCCTGCCTGTAATTTGCCCTTTCATTTAACTAACTTGGTTTTTGAGGAGCAAGTTTTAATGTAGATACAGATGAATTTATCAGTTTTTTATTCTGTTTTGTGTGTAACTTTAATAAATTTTTGCCTAACCCAATATCACAAGAAAATATTCCTGTTTTCTCTACAAGTTTTAAAGTGTTGGCTTTGATATTTTCATATGTAATAAAATTTGAGTTTTTTTTTTTTTTTTTTTTTTTTGAGAGAGAATTTTTCAGTATTTTTTTTTTTTTTTTTTTTTTTTTAGTTCTCGGCGGACACAACATCTTTTTATTTTATTTTTATGTGGTTCTGAGGATCCAACCCAGCGTCCCGCACATGCCAGGCGAGCGCGCCACCGCTTGAGCCACATCCCCAGCCTTGAGTTCATTTTTTATGAATGGTATAAAGTTTGAGATTTTTGGAGAGTTATTTATTTGTGTGTTTGTGTATGTCTTTTCCACAGTCCAGTTATACAGTGGGGTAAGTTGCAAGACAAAGTAAGTGCCCACATGTCAGGGAAGACATGATTTATTGGGGAAACTTAGAAGAGATCAGGGACTACATCCAGAAGAGATCACTGTCAACCGGCTGACAGATAGTACCTCTGTCCCTTATCATGTTTTGCCAGGCAGTGCCTTCTTTCCCTCATGGAGCTTGTCCAGTGGTCGCTGTCTGGACAAGTGACATGTATCCCTCAGTTCAGTGTGCTCAGTTCTGCTTTATGATAGGCTGCAGAAGCAGTGACATCATCAGCATTAGCTTGTTTGTTTGTTTGATCAGCATCGCAAGGAGCTACTGTCCCCGTATACATTGCAAAAAAAGTAGCTTTCTACAGCTAACACTAAGTTAACCTTCATTTCCTATGTGCATAAGAGAGAGCCAAGTCCTTCAAAATATTATGTATCTGGACTTTCTGGCCCAAGATTGCTCTCATTGTTCCATTAACTGGGCTGGGTCTTTGGGATCAGAAAGGAAGCATTTAGGGATAGGGTGTTTTACTATCCCCCTTTCTATTAGGGATGATACAGCATATGTATTGTTGAAGTATTATTTGTTCATATAACTATTTTCCCCCATTGAAATACGTTGACATCTTTGTCAAAATCATTGAGCTATCTCTATGAGAGTCTATTTGTAAATTTTGTGTTTTCTTCCATTGACCTGTGTGTCTTGTCTGTACACCAGTACCACACAGGTTTGATTGGTGTGACTTCTATAGAAAGTTTTGAGATCATGTAGTGATTTTGGAGAAAACTAACAACTGTTGAAGTTTTGTGATCTGTACAGATGGTATCTCTTCATATTAATTTGTGCCTGCTTTAATTTCTCTCATCCAGTATCTCAGAGTTTTCAAAGTACAAGTACTTGTGTTTTCTTAAAATTGCCCTCATTACACTTTGATACTTTTGTAAACAGTATTACTTTTACTTTCATTTTGAATTTATGATTATTTGTTCCTAGTATATAGTGCTAGTTTGTAGAAGTAGTATCAATTTTGGGGTGGGGTTAAGGACTATGTATCTGGCACTCTTCCAAATCATTTATTCTCATATCACTTTTGTAAATTACTTAGGATTTTTCTACATAGAGTTGTGCCATTTGTGAATAAAGAAAGTTATGTTTTTATTTTATTTCTTTTTCTGATTTCATGCAATGACTAGAACTTCCAGAATGATGTTAAATAGAAGTGATTAAAGTGTGCATCTTTGACTTGTTTTCCTATCGCAGATGAAAGCATTTAGTCTTTTCACCATGAAATATGATGCTAACTATAGGGTTTTTATATAGATTCCCCTTATCTGACTGAGAAATTTTCTTTCTGTTCCTAATATTCTTAGGATTTTAAATCATGAATAGATGTTGAATTTTTCCAGGTTTTTTCATCTATTGAAAATCATTAGTTTCTGAGTTTGGGATGTAAATTAATTTTTTTTTAAAATGCTAAACTAACCTTGTATTCTTGGGATTAACTCATTTGGTCACAGTATCTTGATCTATTACATATATTGCTTGATAGAATGTATCTAACATTTTGTTCAGAATTTTTATATTGATGTCCTTGAGTAATACTATTCCAGAGGGTGGTACTGGGCTTATAAAACAAGATATGTACCTTTTCTTCTATTTTCTATAGAAAATATTTTTTTCTATTTATTTTCTATTTTGTATAGAATTTGTATTATTTCTTTCTTAAATGTTTGGTAGTTTGGTGGAATTCACTACTAAAGCCATCTGGGCCTGGAGTACTCCTTGTAAGAAAGTTTTAAACTATGAATTAATGTATTTAATAAGGCTATTAAAGTTGTTTATGTCTTGAGTAAATTTCAGTAGTTTGTGTAGTTTCATGAATTTTTTATAGTAAAGTTGTTCATAATATTCCATTAATCTTTCAGTGTCTATAGAATCTATCTATAATCATTTCCCTCTGGGATCGACAGTATTGGTGATTTGTAAATTTTCTTTTCTTCAGTCCAGCTAGCATTTTATTGATAGTTTTGATCCTTTTAGGGAGTCAGCTTTCTGTATTATGGATTTTATTTTTTTTATATTCTTATTCATTTCTGTCCACTATTTTCTGTATTGCTTACTTTGGATTAGTTTTTTGTTCTTTTTCAAGTTTCTTAAGGTGGAATCTTACATTACTGAATTGAGAACTTCCTTGTTTTCAAATGTTACAAACTTACTGTTGCTTTGTTCTCAGTATTGCTTTGTACCAACAAACTTTTATATGTGGTATTTTAATTTTTATTCAGTTTAAAATATTGTTTTCCTTGATATTTCCTATTTGATTCGTTGGTTACTTAGAAGTATTTTTTTAAATTTTTAAATATTATTTTGGGTTTTTCAGTGATCTTTTGTTTTTGGTTTCTGATATAATGCTGTTGTGGTAAGATTATACATGTTAAAGATTTTAATCCTCTTAAATTTAAGAATTTGTAGGTTTTATTTATTAAAGGTTGATGTCTTTGAATTTTTTTATATCTTTGCCAATTTCATGTCTAGTTATTTTATTAATTACTGAGAGAGAAGTATCAAAATCTTTAATGGTAACCTTAAAGTTTTTCTTATTTCAAAGTTACGGAACATAGAGGGTTATAATGTTAAGATGGTTGCAAGATATAAAAGCTAAATTTTTAAAAGCTATTTAATTTAGGAGGAAGGGAGTATATTTGCTTTTTAGAATTGCAAAGACTTGCATTCCAGAACCATTCCTGCTATTTGTGATCTTGGAAATCCCTCTTACCCTATTTTTCCTTTGGGTGAATAGAGGTAACACAAACTTTTGGTGGCTATTGTGATGATTGGATGAGATAATACTTGTAGAATTCTTAACATGGTACCTGGCGTGTATTAATTCCTAAATAGGAATTATTTTGTATTTTTAAATTTTTGTGTCTTTTCTTAACTTGCATACTAGGACATTAAATATGCATTTTAATATTTGGTCGCTTTCATCTTGTTGACTTCTTTATTATTTCACCCTTGGCCTGCACCATGTCCTTTTTTGTCGTTGTTGTTTATTTTTTCCACTTGCTTTTGTATGCCTCTTTTATTGACAGTCTCTTCAGAAGTTTGAGTGTACATTGCCTTGGTTGTATTGAAGCTTTTGTTGTATGTTTTTCTTCCTTGACATAATTTTACCCACCTTGCAATAAAGTAGTAAAGAAAAAGGTGGAAGGGTTTATATAATAGATAAACTTTAACAACTGTAAAATTGTTCCACATTACTTTGCTGTCTGAAACAAGTTGTTTTTCTTTCCAGATAAACCGAGAAAGCTGGTGTACAATAGAACCATGCCCAGGGGCAGCATCTCTTTTGGCTTCCCAGCAGAGCCCAGGTGAGCAGAGTTTTTCTATTTTCCAGTTTGTCTGAGAAACTACATCCAAAATGTTCATTTTTCTGGAGCCATAATTCTACTCTAATAATAGATCATTTATTCGTAGCTCTGCCCTTCCTTAGCATGTTCCACAGGAATCAGAGGAATGGATATATGTGATGTTCATAAGCATCTGGTTCATAGGCATCTCATTGAAGATGAGCACAGATAGTTTTCTTAATTTTATTTTAGAGGCAACAGACTTAACATGTAGCTTTATGATTTATTAATTTATTTGTGAAATTATCTGGTGCTGTGAATTTGTGTGTGATATAAGTTTTTTAATCTGATAAAATTGTAAATATATGTATTATTAGGGACTAAACCCATGGTTCTCAATTTTGCCTACACAGTGGATTTATCTGGGTGAGCAAGCTTTCAAAATACCTGGGTCCTATTCTCTGAGATTCTGATTTAATTAGGCTGGGGTATGGCCTGAATCTCAGAATCATAAGCTCCTTTGAATTTCCTCTTGGGTAGCCTTGGTTGAGAACTATTGCAACTTTGGAAAAAATTATCAAGAGTTTAATTTGTTATTTACCCTTTCCATATCCTAACTTCAAGCATAAGCAGTTTGGCCTTTTAGTGATTATTTTTAAACCTCAACATAACAGAATTTCAGATCTGAATTACACTTCTGTACTTCAGACCTGAGATTTGTATTTTAGGCAGGGTTTTTTTTTTTTTTTTTTTTGGGGGGTGTGTGTGTGTGTGTGTGTATCCATCCCAGGTGTATACTTTATCTTGCAGGTTTCTTTTTTTCTCTCTTTCTCCCTCCTTTCCTCCTCCTCCTCCTCCTGCTTTTTTGTTGTTGTTGTTTGTTTGTTTGTTTGTTTGTTTTGTTTTGTTTGTGGTTTTGTCCATTTGTAGTACTAGGGATTGAACCTAGGGGTACTCTGCCACCATCCCTAGACCTTTTTTATTTTGAGACAGGTTCTCCCTAAATTGCTGAGGCTGACCTGGAACTTGTTATCCTCCTATCTTAGACTCCTGAGTAATTGGGCCACCACAACAGGCTTCAGTTTTTGTTTTACTTTACAGTGTCTCAGTAGAACAATAGACTTAGAGCAAATAAGATAATAATGTTCTTTAAGATCACTTTGTGTGATAAATACAAGGTAGGATTATGATTAGCATGATTTAACAAAGCCCAGTACAGGTTGCTGATGTTTTCGTATTCTTTTCCAGCTAAAATTTGTTAGCATATACAGTCATATGTGGCCAAAAGATAAGGATACATTCTGAGAAATGTGTCATGAGGTGATTTTTACCATTGTGTGAACATAATAGAGTGTACTTAGGCAAATCTGGGTGGTATAGGTACAATCTGCTGCACACCTAAGCTGTGTGGTATATACCATCATATATGTGGTCCACTGCTGACTGAAATATTTTCATGTGGTGCAGAAATCTGTCATTTTAAACCCAAAAGACTGGATAACATCTCAAAAAGCATATTTTCTGTTAGCTTTTAAAAAGTTAATGATGCAGTACACAAAAATTGGGGGCATATTTGTATATGGGTTATAAAACATGACTTGTCCTTGCTGCGCCCATTTTCAGATTACTGTCATCCAGATATTTAAAGAATCACACGTTAGAGATTGATAGAGTCTGAACTTGATTAGGCACATGTATCACATATCTGCTAAGTGCTAAGGACCAGAGTTCTGGTTACTATGTATATAAATTATTTATGTCACTACAACTCCTGGAAGATACTAATCATTTCATTTCACTGGTATGAAAATAAAGAGTAGAGAGTTCAATTACTTCTTGCCTGTGATCTAGATTTAAGCCAAATCCATTGAACTATAAAACTAGTACTCTACTCTTGTTTATGTTGCTCTACATTATTCATTAGATGATGTGTAGGAAGAAATGAAAGAGTTCATTAATTTTGAAAACTTAACACATGTGACACAAGATCTGGTCACCTTTGGGGGAATGCCCCCCCCCCCAACACACACACACACACACACACAATGGAGGTGGTTCTGGGGTTATAATGGCTTAAAATCCTTGTGTCTCCATTACTTCTTTTCCATCCCCTTCCCTTTTCCCTACCCCAGCAGTCAACATTATCTCAAACAGTGAACTGTTCCTCTTCCAAACTAGGTTTGTGGTCCTTTTGGCTGGCTTGGATTTATTTTCTGGGTGAGGTATTTCTAAGTCTGAATCTGGATCTTTCTGTGGATTTTCTGTTAGAATATCTTGAGCTGGGTTGTTTTCCAGTCTGGAATTTGGACATGGTCTGTTAGACTGCCAGCTGGACAATCTAGCAGCTCAGCATAGTTGCTGTGACAGCCCTTTCTTTTCTTGGCTAACTCCCTTGTTTTCCCCTCAGCCACAGAATGGAGCTTTTAATTTTTCCAAGTGGGAAAAGGGAAAGGAATAGAAAGATCACAAACCTACCAATTCCACCTAAGTTTTACTACATTCTATGCAATGTAGGGGAGGGGACTTCCAGAATACCCATAATTTCCAATGTCTTAAAGGCAGGTCCCTTCCCATTGAACTAACACATCTGAAATAGTCCATTAACTATAGGGTCTTTTTTTTTTTTTAATTTCAAATTTTTAAAGTTAATCCACACCCCTGACACATTTCATGTGGATGGCATCCTTTACACAATTCTATGATGAAATTATCTTTTAATGTGTTCATTTCTGCCACAGATAAAACCCCCTCTCCCCATATATTTTTATTTGGACACTCCCCAGTACCTAAATAAATGCCTAACTACAGAAAAAGTAGTTTTACTGATAAGCAGTGCATTACCTATACTGATTCAGTTCCTCCTTCATCAGAACTTACCTGGCTGGTTCAGGGTAAATGATTTTATTATTAATTCTTAATTTAGATAAAAACTTCCCATTAGCTCTACCCTACATCCACACCTCTCTCTCTCTTGCTCTCCTTCCTCCCTTTCTTTCTCCCTCTCCTACACACACACACACACACACACACAAACACAAACATCATTCAAGCATCGAATCTAAGAATCAGAAGATTCACTGGAAATTAACTGGTACAATCTACATTCCTCCCTTTGTGTATATTATAGCTTTTCTTATAATATCTTGACATAGGCATTCAGTCTGTGCTCCAACTGTCCTGGTAAAGTGACATTGTTTACTTTTTGAGGCCTCAGCAAAGTCCTGAGAATAGTGAAAACTCTGCCACTTAAACTCAGTGGTCTTTTTTCAGTTCCTAGAAGAATACAGAAAGAAATATACTACTGTTTTTAGGCACATTTTCTTCAAACTGTTGCCCAAGCTGAATGTAGCCTGTTTGTTTCTACTGTTGTGACCTCATTACCATGTACACATTTTTTGTTTTATCAGTGTTCCAGTTTAAATGTTGTCTGGGAATAAACAGTCATGTGTAATATGGTCTTGAAAGCACATAGTGACAGGATCATCCCCATTTGGATTCCAGTACATTGAATGTTAATAGGACGTAAAATTATTTGTGTGTGTTTGTTTTGACATCACCTTGTATTGTCAGCTCTTTTTAATTTGCTTTCAACCAAGACTTCTGGGTAGAGATTTAATGAACTGCTGCCTTCATCACTTGGGTCACATACAGATTTGATTAAGTATACATGTATATATGTCCTCACCAAACAATAAAATAACTTAGGAGCGCCTATCTTCAAACCTCTGAAGAAGGTTAATATCTACCCACTACTTGACTTTTGGATTCTTCATCTGGAATATGTTAGTAGCAAGGATGGGAACTGGTGAGCCAAAAGAGGGATCCATGACAGAACTATTAACTCAAATGTGAAGGAACCATTGGATTTCATGTGTTAAATCTCTGTAATCCTTTTGCTAGCAAGTCTTATGTCCCTTTGTTCACAAAGTTAATAGGAAATAATAAGTGCATTGTCAATTTCAGGTTAAGTCTTAAGGATCCTTCATGTGAGTATAATAGTTCTGTCGTGGACCCCTCCTCTCATTCATCAATCTCCATCCTAGTTATTGAATTGAAAACAGATTCCGGATGGATGCATTTTTCTACTTCAGCACATTTTTTTCCGATGCAAGATCTATTTAAAGGGAGGAAAAGTTAAGTTACATTTATTATTACTCAGTAGAAACCATAAGTGTAATACACATATGTTTATTGATAGCACCCCCTTTATCTTTATACCACTGTTTAGAAAAGGTAACAAGTTTCCAGAAAGAACTTTAGTCCCAAGCTAAAATTGGCCTCAAATCCTGTCACATAATTTCCTAGTAATGAACTTCAGATTTTGGTGGCAAAAGAGAATTATTCCCTAACTACCAGGAGGAACCATTACTGTTTAGATAGAATATGATTCTAGATCATCGTTCTTTCTTTACCTTACATAAACATGGCTAACTCATAAGCGGCCTATGGCAAATGTATGATCCTAGAATTGGAATAGTAGAAACTATTAATTTGACTTTTAGTAGTAGAAGCTACTAATTTGAATTCTTGATATCTAAAAAGAAAGAGAAAGAATGAAGGGATGGATGTGGAAAAGCGGGGAAAACAAAAGAGAAGAAAGATTAGTTGCTTGGAAGAAAAGAAAAATTTTTAAGTATCAGTTGAATAAATTTTCTTTTTCAGGATGTGAGAACATTTTGGATGTTGCATTGAGCAGAGAGTGTAGCTCAAAACAAGATGTACTTCAGAGAGAATCTGGGAGTGATTCTGACCTCTTTCATTCACCCAGTGATGAAATGGACAGCATCATCTTCTCAAAGGTATTTGGGTACCTTCCCTTTTCATTTTGTCCAGTGATTCTCATGCTCCCTTTGGTCTTCCTTAAATCTCTTTCACTTTGTTCTTCTCCTGTGCTCATCATCTTCTCAAGGCATATTATTTCCCTTAATATGTGACTCCTACTAGTAAATTGTGATCCAGCTGGCCCCATAGATTTCGCTTGCCATTGAAGAATATAAGTATTCCCTTTTGAAAAAGGAAATGAGATTTCCAGAGTTTAGGAAAAAGGGCATTATCCAAATTTATTTTCTGCAAAATGCAGCTTGTTTACATGCAAGTTTTGGAACTTGCATTGAAATCAAAGGCATGGAAGTTCCTTTAGAATGAACTAAATCATATGACTAAATCATATGACATGAACACTATTCCTTGGGCAGGAAAGGACTACAACTTAGACTGTATGATGTCATGTGTGTAAGCTAACCATAGATTCATTTTCTGATTGATGTGTGGAGGCCTGAAACTTTACTGTTGATCCTGGTGATATCACCCTTATTCATCCACCCTGCTTAATTGGAACTTTCTAGATCTTTGCTAAGGGATTCAAGCTTTCTATATAGTGAAAAATTCATGCACAAAAATCAAGTTATGTTTGCATAGAGTTTGAGGCTAGGGAAGTGGGTGATGGGAGCATTTTGCTGTCTTTTGCTTGGGCTTGTTTCTCCTTGCAGCAAGTTGTTTTGTTCCATAAGAAGAGTATAGGGCTTCCACACAAGCAGAGGGCAGATAGCACTCAATTGTGTGCCATGAGTGGTTTTCTTAGTGGCGAGAGGTGGAAGGGCAGAAATGCCATGGCAGCTGTGAAGAAGACTCTTCCTTCAGGTTTTAAGATGACTTTGGAAAAGTGGTGAGAGCAGTTGTGCTAGTGGGTGATCAAGTTATCCAAGAGAGTGTGGTGATTCTGTGTTTAGAAGTTATAGTATAATAATGAAGGCATAAAGTCCTGGAATTCTGGTTTGGAACATACTGAAGCCTCTGTGAATATACTCTGTTATACTTCCCTTTCATTTTGTCCAGGGACTTTCCTATTCTGACTGGGTGTTTCCTTATCCTTTCTACCTTGTTCCTTTCTCTTCCAGGGTCCTTGGGAAGATTTGTGGTGCAAATTTCAGGATTTCTGTCATTGTTACTCATAGTGTATTGACTGAAGGGATTCTTTGAAGTAAAAACTCTGTACATTGGAAGAGGGAAACCAATATGACTTTTAAAATATCAGAATTTCAGTACTTTCCACTGTGCCTTCAAGTCTTTAATTATAAGGACTTCTGTTCTCCTCTGGGGAAATATCATTGTGAATATACATGTCTCTAAAAACATTGCTTTTGTCTGAGATGAACACATTGGATGGTTTCTCTAGTTCCAGCTTTAACATAGGCCCATTGATTGATAATGATGGTATATGAAGGTTCAATAAGTATTTATGTTTTGAAATATTAATAATAATATTTTTTACTATTGGAATTGTTTCATGTAGAAAAACTTGGTTGTAGTCTGCCAAAGTGGTTTGTTACCAAGAGATACTTTGCATTAAATATTTTCTCTAACATTAATAAACCAAGGGCTTACTACTTGTGAAAGGAAAAGGAGGGAGACAAACTAATATTGATAGAGTGCTTACCATACACAAAGCCCTGCAACTCTAGTGGTTTTGTCTTCCTTTTACCCTTAAGGGAGTAGAGGCTCTGATTGGTAAAGAAGTTAATCCAACTAAAAAAATTAGACAATAAGAGAACAAACAACCCAATCAACAAATGGGCCAAGGACCTGAACAGACACTTCTCAGAGGAGGACATACAGTCAATCAACAAGTACATGAAAAAATGCTCAACATCTCTAGCTGTCAGAGAAATGCAAATCAAAACCACCCTAAGATACCATCTCACTCCAGTAAGATTGGCAGCCATTAGGAAGTCAAACAACAACAAGTGCTGGCGAGGATGTGGGGAAAAGGGTACACTTGTACATTGCTGGTGGGACTGCAGATTGGTGCAGCCAATTTGGAAAGCAGTATGGAGATTTCTTGGAAAGCTGGGAATGGAGCCACCATTTGACCCAGCTATTCCCCTTCTTGGTCTATTCCCTAAAGACCTAAAAAGAGCATGCTACAGGGACACTGCTACATCGATGTTCATAGCAGCACAGTTCACAATAGCAAGACTGTGGAACCAACCTAGATGCCCTTCAATAGATGAATGGATAAAAAAAATGTGGCATTTATACACAATGGAGTATTACTCTGCATTAAAAAATGACAAAATCATAGAATTTACAGGGAAATGGATGGCATTAGAGCAGATTATGCTAAGTGAAGCTAGCCAATCCCTAAAAAACAAATGCCAAATGTCTTCTTTGATATAAGGAAAGTAACTAAGAACAGAGTAGGGACGAAGAGCAGGAGAAGAAGATTAACATTTAACAGGGATGAGAGGTGGGAGGGAAAGGGAGAGAGAAGGGAAATTGCATGGTAATGGAAGGAGACCCTCAGGGTTATACAGTGGAGGGGGTAGAGAGAGAGGAAGGGAGGGGAGGGGAGAGGTGGGGAGGGGGGAGGGTGGATGATGGGAAAGGCAGCGGAGCACAACAGACACTAGTATGGCAATTTGTAAATCAATGGATGTGTAACTGATGTGATTCTGCAATCTGTGTATGGGGTGAAGGTGGGAGTTCATAACCCACTTGAATCAAAGTGTGGAATATGATATGTCAAGAAATTTGTAATGTTTTGAACAACCCACAATAAAAAATTAAAAAAAAAAAAAAGAAGAAGTTAATCCAAAATTACTGAGCTACTGAGTAAGAGAACTGAGATTTGCACATACGCCTGACTCTAAAATCTCTTTGTATTTTTTTATTTTGCTCTCAGTCTCTGAAAAACTCTTCTAAATCCAGTGATTTATTTGAAAGTATAGTCATGGTAGACAGGTCATCAGCTGCTTCCTTAGAAGTCTTCCTCATTGGTCATCCACACATGGACTGTACAATACCAGAATGTTTCAGTTTCTTCCCAGGGCCTAACCTCCCTTTCCTCTTTTCTCTTCCCAGGGCTTACCCCTCCTCTTCTTCATTCTCTAAAAATATAATCTGTGGGTAAGAATTGCAACATCCTTTTCTGTGAACCATGAGTGGTGCATTAGGTCACTTCCTGCAGTCATTTATGTGACTGTAGTCTTACAGAGCGCTCTTTAACAGCCTGAAGTGTCCTTCACCAACTGTTCACCTTAACTTGTCTTTCCATTGAGTGTGCCTCCCAGCAAATGGAACTATCTAATGAGTGTTATGAGCTTCATGTTTATTCTTATGAATATTTGTGAGTTATTAAAGTCTTTCCATTCCTTATATCAGCAGCATAAATTTTACATTTTTAAAGTGAGAAGAAATCCTGGAATTCTTTTTGGCACTGGCTGAGAAAATGTGATCATAAAATATGCATAATCTAGGCCACTCTGATCTAATACTTAAGATTCTTAGATAAAATATTATTAGATAAAATAAATGAGTTAAGTGATTGTGGTATGTATTAGATGTTTAAAATGTGAGCTGTGATTTTTCAAGGCACATAGCAGGACTCCTTGAATATAACATAATAAATAATATTAACTAATTGAGTGAATAGATAAATGAAAATTAAAGGACCAGTGTTTGGGCACTATTAAGCTTGATTCCTTCAGTTATAGTAATAAAACATAAAGTGTTTAGCTGTTTTCACATTTTTGTGTATATGAGTTATATAATTTTTAAACTCATATATCTTACTTACATAGTTTAACTCTGGTTGAGGAAGCCAAGCAGGCGTTTCCCCCCAACTTTTCATTATCAAAACACAGAAACATGTAGAAAAGTTAAAAAATCATGCAGTGAACACCAAATATTTCCATCTCTCAGATTCTACAATTAACTTTTTATTGCATTTACTTCCTTACATAGCAGTATTTCTGTTCATTCATCTATCTACCCACCAGTCCACCTAAATTCTTTGGTGCATTTCAAAATATGTCAGTACACTTCACCTCTGAATACTTAGAATTCATCATTTGTTTATAGTTGGTTGTTGTTTTATTTGTAAAAATTTATATACAATGAAATATACAATCTTTTAAAAATTTTTATTTTTTATACTGGGGGATTGAACACAGGGGCAACTTTATCACTGAACTAAATCTCCAGTCCCTTTTCATTTCTTATTTTAAGACAAGGTCTCACTAAGTTGCTGAGGGTCTCACTAAATTTGTTGAGACTGGCCTTGAATTTGCAATTCTCTTGCCTCAACCCCTGGAGTCACTGGGATTATAGGCATGTGCCACTGTGTCTGACTGAAATGTACAATCTTGAGGATTCAGTGACTGTTGATAAATACATTCATTCACTTTTTAACCCAAGCCCACATCAAAATATATAAACTATGAAGATCACCTTGGAAAGTTTCTTTTTTTTCCTTCCCAGACAGTCTCCATTTAAACTCACCAGAGTCAGCACTCCCCCGACCCCCACCCCCACCCCATGTATTAGTTTTCCATGTTTCAGAACTTAACGTAAATCCAATCTAAATAATGTCATTTCTTGGACTGGGGCTACAGCTCAGTGGTAGAGTGCTTGCCTTGCTTGTGTGGGGCACTGGGTTCAATCCTCAGCACCACATAAAAATAAATAAAGATGTCGTGTCCATCTACAACTAAAGAAAATAATAATAATATTATGTTTCTTGCCTGAATACCTAGAAGTGGAATTGTTAGATTATATGTAAGTGTAGGTTCAGTTTTATGAGAAACAGATTATTTTCCAAATTGATTATACCATTTTACACTCTCACAAGTGGTGTATGAGAACTCCACTTGTTCTACATCCTTATTGACATGTATAATTGTTTTAGTATTTCTGGCATCCATGCAGTAGTATGTCTTCAAGGTTTTTTATTTGCATTTCCTTGGCAACTAGTGTTGTTATAAACACATTTTCTTGTGTTCATTGACAACTTTCTTATCTT